CATCGGAGAAAACAGAGAGGTCCAATATTGATTGCAGAACGAGCCAACCGGAGAAGGTATCGACTCCAGCATTGCGACTAACCGCCCCAATCTTTTCCAAAGATATATCCCAATTAATTTCCAGGGTGGGGGAATAGTATCTTCTGAGAGTTCTGGAGAAATTCTTTGTCGGATCCACAGCATTCTTGCGGAATTCCATCTTCTACGAAGGGGGTGCCTAAGATCTGCCGAGGCGATGCGGAAGGCTAGGCGATCGTGAATACGTTCAAGCCAGGCTCGTGCCGGACCCCAACCTGTCTCCCGGAGAATTACAGCGACTGGTGTCGTTCGGAATACAGGAAGAGCTGCTCGGGCCGCGTCGTTCATCCTTTGTTGTATTCTAAGAACTAGTCCTTTTGGGGTTCCTTTGGAATACCAAGTCTCAGCCCCGTAAAGCAAGGTTGTAAGAGCTGCTCCTCTAAGTGCTTGTCTCAAGAGAAGAGGGCTTATTCCTCGAGTGATTCTTGAGAGGCTTTTTATGTGGCTCGTGATGGCCAAGAACCTACCGCATTTTTGTCTTACATACTGTCTAAATCGAAGGCCTCGGTCAAAGATAACTCCAAGCTAGCGTGTGTGATTGTTTGGAGTAACCTCTACTTCATTAGCGTAAGCGCTGGGCTCTGCTGGGGATCCATGCTTTCGGTGGAAGAACTGCAGCTCACTTTTGGACACTTCAAAAGTGATGCCGTTATCGCGCTCCCATGCGAGGGTGGAGTCTAACTGCTTCTGGAGTAGCTCTAAGCATCGAGTGAGGGATGGCGCAGACGCTATAAGTGCCACATCATCTGCGTAGCCGGAGCCTGTTGGGGAGAGATTGAGGAGGCCTTCAATTGCGAGCAGAAGTAGGATTGAAGAGTCGGGCGAGCCTTGTGAAAGCCCACAGTGGATTTTAAATGTTGGAGATGGAGTTCTATCAGGTATGATTGAGGCTTCTCGCCCAGACATAAAAGAAGATACCCACTGTACCACATTAGGGGGCCAGCTTTGAGCCCGCAAGCAGTAACAGAGGCGGTCTTCTTGGATACCATCAAATGCTCCTTTCACATCTACTATGACCATGCCAGCCACCTTTTTTTGGACCACGCATCCTGAATATTGCGCGATAGTGCTGTGGTGAGGTCTGTGTCAGATCTTCGAGGAACTGCACTACATTGATCCCGGGAGAGAATCTGTAGTTTCAGCGCTAGAAATGAGAGGCGGCGAGCCATTAGTCTCTCGAGTCCCTTACCAAGACACGACAGAAGGGCAATTGGTCGTTATGACTTTGGTAGAGCCCGATTGCGGTTTTCAGACTTTGGAATTATAATAATATTAGCCTTCTTGAAAACACTCGGGTGTAGTCCTTGCTGATCACACCAGCGAAATAAAGCTATTATTCGAGCCCCAATGAGTGGCCAAGCGCGTCTAAGTACCATTGTGGTGATACCGTCCGGTCCAGGGGCAGATATTGAGACGACACAGCATGAGTTATAGACCTCTTTTTCTGTTATCTGAGGCCAGGAAATCGATCTTTTTGCCACTACAGGGGCTGTATCGTCGATATCTACTTGGTTTAGATGTCGGCTGAGAAGTGTCTCTTAAAATAACTGCGCCTTATCCTCCGGACGGAATACTGGGCCAGTCAGGCTCTCTAAAGGTGGGGTGTGGTATTGAGCTTCTTTCTTATGCCAGCTTACTACCTGGTAGGCCTCTTTGAGACTGGAGACTTGTTCTATCTTGTTGTGCCAGTATGCCCGTTTAGATTTTCCGACAACTTTACCGAAGGCTCGACGTTCGGAAACCACCGGAAGACCCGTGCGGCGAGCTCGGCAGAAGTTTAAATGAGCTTCGATACACTCCTTTGTCCACCAGCCAGCTTTCGCTACCTGTATACGGGATCTAGGGCAGGCCACACGAAGGGCCCCTGAGATGGCACTCACAATTCCTGTCGCCTCATCTTCAATTGTTTGGGAGGGTGCAACAGCTTGATAGTTCTCAAGAAGGCCTTCGAATATAGACCAGTTACAGGATGCTAATTGAAGTGTTGGTAAAACACGAAGTAATACAAATTGGGTGCCGTCACGAAGTCGGTGAATAATCTCAATTAAATGGTATCTCGAAATACATAAAACGTTGTCTCTCCTTCTCCTTCTCCATCTCCCCTTCCTTCCTCTACTCCAAGAGCCTCGCTAATGAGCTAAATCAGACCCCTGCCAGTGTCCTAACGACAACCTGAATATCGCAAATACATAGAACAATTCACACTACTCAAATGTGATCCTTTTACCGACATGAAGCTTACCTGGTGCAGGAATTTTGACCTCCCAATTGTTTACTTGGCAGAGAAGTGTTCTGTGGTCTGAGCCGGCTTCCAGACCATGTCAAATTTCGCAAAATGCGTTAACATCATTTCAGACAAAGCAGAGATCGATGGCTGCCCCGGCGTCATGAGTGGAAGCTCCATCGTGGTTGAGAAATCGCAGATCCCGGGAGGCTGTCCATGATAGCAGGGAGTTGCTATCCACACTGTCGGTTCGAGATTTCGGGTCCCAGGCTGAGTGGTGAATGTTGAAGTCCCCTGCAAGAATATCTAGAGAGCCTATGCTATTAATTAAATACTTCCTACCTTCCCCGGTGTCAGTTGCTCCGATTGGGGCGTTTTACACGTTCCAGCATGCGAGCGCACGCTTATTCCTACGCGGAATTACGACTTGTAATAGGTCTCGCGATTGCAAAACTGGCTGGAAGGGGTATAACCCTTGCTCTTTGCAGACGTAATTCATCACTTGTGACCGAATATTCCAGTTGGAAAGGGGAGAGAAACACTGGAATCTTGGGTGAGTCTTTTTTATTCTATGAGAAAGGTCAGTTGAAACCCAAGGTTCTTGGATTAGTACCACATTAGCCTCGCATTTTGCGGTCAATTCTAGGGCGGCGTCGTGAGCAGAGGCACGTCTACCAACGTTGATCTGGAAGAAGTAGAGGTCTGGGGTTTTCTGCTTTCTTCGTTTACTGGTTCGGTCCCTCATAATGACTCCTCAAGGGAAATCAGGGGAGCAAACCTAGATGCCGAGCCTATTGTTAGAACAGGAGCTGGAATCGTGGCGCGCGAGGGTTGTGTGGAAGGAGACCCAGCGGGTGGTTCCGGAGCGGGCGGGGGAGGGTTAAGAGCCAGCCAGTACTTATGTCCTTCCTGGCGCATTACCCGCATTCTCTCCTTGTCTGAGCGAACAAATACTCCGTTAGCTCGGAAGGGTCTTGCAGGGCATCCAGTGGAAGAGGCCACGTGCTGGCCAGCACAATTAAGACACTTTATTGGTGTCATACATGGGCTATTGTGTGAGTCTGACGCACAAAGTCCGCAACGAGCTCTCCTGGTGCAGGCATTGATGTTGTGGAATCCATGACAGCGCTGACAGACTTGGAGGCGTGGGCGATTGTCAGCCGGTCGAATTTTGGCGGACCGAGCAATTAGGTGGACGCTGGAGGGGAATTTATCTGCAGCTGGCTTTACAACTACCAGTCGGAGAGTACCTTCCCATTCTAGGGATGCCAGAGAGTTACGTGTCCAGCTGATAGAAAAAATTGATTTTGTATCAATTTTTGCTGCTGCAAGTTCTTCCCGGATGTCTGCATCGGAAAGTGCTTCGGGATATCCGGAAGCATTGTACCCATATTTAGGGAATGAGCTAAGGAGAAAGTTCTCTCGTTTTTCCTATCTTTCGATAGGCACAACTCCTATAGCGGGCTGTAGAGCAAGGATAGCTAGCATGAGTTCGGGGGCTTGCTCGGATGAGAGGGCCACGAGGGCTATCCCAGAAGGAACCGACCTGATATCCTTGATTAGTTCCGGTTTTTCGAGAAAGCTTCTCAGCTTTGTACGGACCAGAAGAGAATCTTGGAATCTCAGAGGATGGTCGGGCGCTAGGCGTATCATAACTCTAGATTCCGGCATGTTTTCTTTCTTTGAACTGGTAAACCTGTGCGTAGCTTTTGGAGGGGGTACAGGTACGGTCAAGTTCTTCTTCGCAGCATTTGTGTAGGTAGAACTTGCGAGTGGTTCTAGTTGTGGGGCTAGCTGTGCGCCAACTTTTACGTTTGCAGTAATTTGAGACTGCTCGAAGACAGGGAGGCCTGCAATGACTCGTGCTGCACTTCGCGTCACGATAGTTGTGAGGTCCGCAGCGATTGTTGGCGGTAGACCACGTAGATGTTGGGCTCCAGCATTTTGCCAGGCCAACAATGAAGCGGCCATATTATTTGTCATAGCTACCGAGGGGTGTTCGATAATCCGCGCTGTTGTACGCGCGCTAGATCGCGGGAGAGTTGGGGTAGGTTGTTGCTCAATTGCAACGTCTTTGATGGACGCGTAAATGGAGCTGGAGATACCCTGAATAGAATCTCTTCGCAGAGGTTTTTTTGGCGGATGCAGTTGGGTTGCTGTTACCAATACGGGAGCTGGCGTGGGAGAGAAAGGTTTTCAGAGGAAGAGTTGGAAGGACATTCGTTTTCCAATCCGAGGTCCATGAACTCGTCTTCGGAGTCCATGTAGATGGGTTCAGCTGGAGATTGTTGCTTCTCATCTGCGGCTGCTAGGATAACTTCCTCCTAAACAGTTGGGAACGGAGGGCGAGGCCTCGCACGTTTGACTGCGCGCGAGACAACTCGAGCAGGGGACACGAGTGTCGTGGGGATTTTACGCCTCCCGGGGGGCATCTTGACGTCTTGAGACAATGAAAAGTGGGAAATTTGAGTCACGAGATATATCTTAGCTTGGGGAAAGAAAAGACGTGTGCTTGTTGTTGAACCAACTACAATAGTATCCTACAGGCAATGGGTCATGGAGGGATATAACATATGATGTGAGCGAAATTCAAACATCTACTCAGATTGTTCGACCCCTCCATCATATCTTTGGTTCCCTACTCTCACATCCACGTTCACGCTCAAACAACCAACCATTATACACCACTTTCTTCGCGATGGATCACATCGAACAATTCTACAGGTATACAGCTCGAAACCCTCTTCACCAAATACTAGACCAGTACAGAGGTAGTCCCGATTTTCAAAATGGATCTATGCGAGGTAAACCCTTCTGGCGTAAAAATAAAGGGGATAGCTAATCATAAAGAAATCGATTCATTACTTCTTGACCTCCGAACTTATATCACACGATTCCTTCGAACCACGGAAAATCACGCCCTTACAATTTTAAATTCAAACATAGCTAATCTTCAAACTAAAGTATTGAATGGGGAGGTTTCTAACTTGGATTTTGTACAACTGATCTATTTGATCAATTTTGAAAGCGATCGTCAAATTATGTCTCATATTATTCTAATTGCTGATGTACTCACCCGGGTAGATCCTCCAATACTTCCAGATTTACAAATCCCCATTACTCAGGAGAAAAGATCGACGACATCTCTATTGCGGAACGTCGCAGAACAACATGAGTATGACACCACCAGAGATGTCCTCCAAGAGGCACTCAGGGCCGAGCTCACTGGCTATACTTATAAATCTGTCGATAACTTCTGGGAGGTGAATTTCGAAAATAAAGGCTGGTATGGTCTAACCACGCAAATTTGGGAGAGGTATCGCGATCAAGGTCAATGTGGAAATAACCATATATTCAGTGACAACATGGACGAGGATACAATGAAAGAATGGTTCATTACATTTCACAGGATATATTTGGAACCATTCACAGCCCCACCAACAAATCCTAATGAACTTCCTTCAGCTAGGAACCCTAACGAGTTCTATGTCCGTGGGAAGTTTTCTTTCACTTCTACCCCAGCTCAGCTACAAGGTAGTCGATGTAACCGGCAAGTAGATGTCTTTGTCGAGCATTCCGATAACCTTCAAAGATGGGGTTATCACTGGAGGGACGTGAGGGTAGTGGGCGAGTTCACCAAGTCAGCCGGTAAAAAAAGTGTTAAATTTCACCAGCTCATGCTGTACGTGCGTGAAGTGTTTTACGCGCAGCCACTGCGTCGATTTGTTCATGGGTTTTGCTTGCACAAGAGGCATATCGTTTTCTGGATTATCGACAGGTCGGGAGCGTATAGCTCCTGTGAGATTAACGTAATCGAAGATCAAGAAAAGTTGGTCCGAGCTCTTTCGGCATACACGCTCATGAGTGATCAAGAGCTTGGCCTTGACACTACGATCCAAATTCATGAAGGACGCTCCTTCATCAAAATTCGAGATGGCGATTTAACACTGGAAAGATGGGTCGAGATCGATCCTGTGCCAGTATCTCGACTAGAGACTGTGTTATCTCGGGGCAACCTCTGCTATCGTACGATTAACATGAAATACCTGATCAAGTTTTCATGGGGATCTGGTGCGGAACATTCAGAGATCGATTTCTTGAAAGACGCACGAGCGGTGAACGGCGTAGTTGATCTGGTATGGGCCAAGCAGATATATCAGGTTCAGACTCATCGAGAAGGGCTAGACTTTTCGACCGGAAAACGGTGGAACATGGGGAAAAAGAACTGGCTTTCCATTGGTATAGAGGAGACAGAAATTGAATATTTCAAGAAACGTAAACTCACTTTAGCCGTCATATCTCCTTACGGTCGACCCCTCAAGACTTGCACATCGCTCTGGGAGTTTCTAAGCGGCTTGCTTGATGCTATAATTGGGCATCGCAATTTATATCTTGACGCTAACATTCTTCATGGCGACATTTCTGAAAGTAATATCATTTTGACAACGCCAGCTCAAAATGGTATTACACGTGGAAAGCTCATTGATCTAGACATGTCCTTATATGTCGCCGGCTATAATGAGGCTAAAAGTATAACGGGTACCATGAAATTTATGGCGCTAAAGGTCTTGCAAAGTATTGCTCTAAAAGAATATACAATTGTGAGAACCTACCGTCATGACCTTGAGTCGTTCTTTTACGTCTTTCTTATGGGATGTGTCTGTTACGGTCGTGATTCGGATTCGCATGATAAGCATTTTATTGAATGGTGTTCAAGTATACCTTCGAGGAATCAAGGTGCAAAGTTATTAGACATTGGGATGTATTTCCAGGCAAGGATAATAGATAACTTTTCGCCACACTTTAACGGCATCAAGGAATTGGCGTTTGAGTTGCGTAATATAATTTTTGGAGAAAATGCTTTGTCTTTCGATACCCCCAGACAAAGTGCAGTACTATATGATCCTATAATTACTGCATTTCTTAAAACCCTCGAAAAAATTAATAGTAAGTAATTCCGACACTTACATCAAACAACTGCCCTGAAACTCGAGATAATCTGACGAATTATTTCTTTTGCTATAGACGGAATCATCAGAAATAAGACATGGACATTAAGAGCTTGATGAAAAAGTCAAAGGTTCAACAGAAAGGGGCAATTTATAGGGGCTTCAGTAGCGAAATATGATATACGTGTAACTAACAGTGTAATTTTTATTTCATTACTTATATATCCCGAAAAAATAGATATATACTTGTTTACTGTCCGATGAGGTTCCTATTTACAGGTCTGTGGGGACGATGCTGTTCTATACCGCATCCCTTCGAAGGGCCTTTATCGGCAGGCTAACAATAACAGAGCCCCTGATGTGTCCATTCATCTTTGCCCAGTGGTGCTCCTTTCTACCGTGAAACCATCGTGATCGATTTATTTGGAGGCCTGGGATCCTCACCTTTGTTGCCGCAAAGAATCGTTGATCAACCTTTTGTTATCTGAATTTTTGCCTCCCATAATTTTTGGCCCTGTTGGAACTCTAATGACCTCCACTGGGTAGTCTTCCCTCAAATTTTGAATTCCTCGGGCTATACTATGTTCAAAGCCGTATCGCTGTGAGCCGCTGACGGGAGACTGTTCTCAACACCTGTCAGTGGTGTCCCCTACGGACCTCCAGCCCTCACTGTAGAGTCTGCAGAGCCGAGATTGAGTAACAAAATCCTCACTTAGATGAGGATTCCCAATTACTTTCGCGGTCTGTATCGTCTTCATCTCTCAAACAGAGTACAGCTGACACTATGAAAACAAGCCGACGATGGAAGGTGCTGTGGTCCGCCTCCTGGTGGTGTTCTCTGGCATGGTTTGAGTAGCCTGGGCACCTACTCCACTTGGGAAGGAGACATCTCAGATTACATTTCGCGCGGAGAAAAGTTGATGGATGACGGAGGCATGTCTGGATAACCCAGGATTTCTGATACATTCCCCTGGGTGGGTATTCACGGATGAGGGTTGACTTGGGATGAAGAAAAGCCACCATAACTTCGCAGTGGTACTTGCAAATGAAATCCAAGACATGAGAGCTCTTCTTGTAATCTGAGTCATCTTTTCTGTAACTTTCTTTGATATTGTATCATAGCTAGATAGCTGCATACGCAATTAAAATCTGATGCAAAAAACATATTCCTCTCAGCACAACCCCCTATCACCACTATCATGAGGATAACCGCGATCAGATCAGATGTCAGGGACAAAGCCCTACTCGTCACCAACACTCGATGTCGGAGAAAAAGCCATCCGATGAGTTTGCCCAGCGGCCGGCAAAGACGAATTCTTCACCTTCCAGTGTTGACGGTGTCATCGCTCAGTATGCTCTGCATATCTGGGATAGCCGAGAAGAACCGCATCCGAATCGAAATCGAAAACAAACACATCCGTATCTTCATGTGATGACTTCTCAATCATACAGCACTCACCATTATCTTCTGAGTCCTCAACCTCTTTCTAACCACATGTCATCTCGCCTCAACGATCAAAAGATAAGTTGCTCCAATTGCAAACAGGAGCTTGCCCCATTAATCTCCTGCCATCTGTCACTACAAATTTACGACGCTATTTATACCCGCAAGGAGGAAATCAAGTCAAAAAATACAAAGCCTAGGCCTTGGCTTATGGGGGACTGTTACTCTAATGGGACAAACAACTTGAGGGAAGACAGGCGACGGAGATGTGGAGCGAGAGGGGGAGGTCTCTGAAGACTTTGCTGAGACTGACATTTTCGAGGAATTTTCAACTTTGGATTTTTTGTGGGCGCCAAGACCAAGATATCGGCTAATTAGCCAGGAGGGCTTCTTTTGTCGATGAGTCAACGGCACTCCCCAGCGCCCTGGACGGCACAAAAGAAGTTAGGCTAAGCTACTATACAGCAATCACGCTCTGTCAAGACTTTTCTGACATTTCAGCACGACCTTCGGGAAGGAGCTGGAAGGAGGCTAGAAAGGCAGAGGGTGAATTTCCCGAGGTACCCACAAGTCTGCAGCGCCCAGCTGGCCGGCCTCTTCGAACGCTTCAGAAGGGGCAATATGTCTTTGGATTTATTCCTAATGTCGGTATTAGAAGAGCCCCGCACCCAGTGGTTTTTGCGAATTTTCCCGGCTGCCATACACCCGCAAATGGCCATCGTTTCGTTGGCTGGAGAGGGGAGATGATGAAGGGCTAAGGGCTCCTCTTAGTGTATGATCGAATGAGGACTTGTGAAAGGTTGTGCAGTTCGAGGGGAGCTGTGTAGGGGGCACAGGAGGGGATATACTACTGGTATAGGTATCCTTGGCTTTTAGGCAGAGAGGACCTGCGTGTCCTACATAGTCACTGACTCAGAAAAGAAAATAAAATGAATTAATAAAAAAAAGTTTCCCGAGCGTGCCTTTCACCCGACACGGAGACGGGGGATTTCATCAAATCGGCCTCTATAGTTACATAGAAAGAATATTTAGGAGAAAATGAGAAACTCATGAGATCCCGATGTCTAGGCCTCGCCTGGCTGTGGCTGCAGGCTTTTTGAAAAATTTTCCCACACACGCAGTTTCCATTGCTACCATTAGACAGAATTTAGAATAATTGGGGCTATCAAGTAGGCCACGTTTTTGATACACACATGGCTGTAAATTCTGTACATAGATGTCACGGACCAAGGGCCTATTCTGAGTCAATAGGAACTATGTACAAAGATATCTGTGCTATCCTACTACATTCTATCCTAATCTGTTCCGTTCTATTCTATTCTAGCCTACTCCACTCCATCCCATTCTATTTCGTTCTGTTCTGATCTGTACTTGCCTACACTATTCTATTCTACTACGTTCTATTCTACATGAGAGTATACTGGAAAGATCAAAAACAGTAGAGAGGAATAGATAATGGGTAATTAGGATAACTTTTTTTCGGCAGATTATTGTCTGGTAGTCTTAGGAACTATTTAGACATTATTGAATCTTGTCTTGAACTGTCGAACTGTTGGACTCTTGAGCACTCGGAATGCGAACCCCTATTGTATTCTTGACATAGCCATAATCTCTCTAAGCATATCGTCGTTTGAATATGTAAGCGAACTTCCTATGAAATTTGAAGATATTAAAACTATTGAACAATTTGCTGGAGTGGATTCTAATCCGGAACTAATTTATCGAGAAATAACGAATTTGTATCGGCTAAGAAACCAAGTAATAGTCGAAATGGAAGCCGTTAGGAAAGAGATCGAGTTTCTTGGGGAAGATTCGAGGACCGTACCTAAAATTAATGACAAAAATATTACATCTCTTCTAAAGACTGCCCTATTTTCAAATCCCTTCAGATCTAGCAAAATTTCTCTCCCTCCAGTTTTCTCCAGTTTTAAGAAAGATTTCTTCACTGGGAAAGAGGCAATGCTCTTGAAACGTAATGCTAATGCCAACCATTTCCCTTCTGAACAATCTAAGATGATTTATATCTATTCATGACTCATCCCTGATTGTCAAGCTCATTTATATGGTCGAATAAAAGATGGAGTTATTTTATTTTCGTCTTGTGCAGTAATGATGAAGACCTTTACCAAGATCTTTGATGATCCTAATCGAATTCGGAATGCCAGATCGAGGTTATACTTGAACAAACAACATAACAAGACTTTGGTTTCTTGGATTATTGAGATTCGCCGCGATGCCGCTGTTGCTGGATATACAAGCTATAGATATAATCAGCTGAAAGATGTTGTCCTCCACAACATGAATTTAGAACTCAAAAAAGCTTTAGTTTACGAAAGAAAAATTGAGTCGCTCGAATTTGATGAGGCGGTTTCAAGGATCCAAGATGTTGAGAAATTACAACGGTCTTGTGAAGTGAGGCTGCGCGAAATAGTTTGTGGCGAAAAACTCAGTCCAAAACGTCGCCGTATGCTGCCCTCACCAATCGTCGTTTCAGCTATGAGAATCTGGGAGATACTATAAACTTATCAGCTGCTAGAATTGCTAGTTAATTTTGTGATTGAGGTATGAGTAGGTATGAGATGTTGAATATTCTAGGGATAGTGCAGAGGGTGGATAACGATTATCGGAGCTTGACGATATGATGAATAGCTTAGTTATATTCATACACATATCACAGTAGTAGATAGGACTTATATACAAATATTTGGTACCCGCTATACAGCATATCACCGTCTATGCAGGAAGTACTACAATCCTAATTCCATGCCATAATATCCCACATCACTCTATGCCATTGTATAGAGCTGCGCCTCAATAGTCCATCGTAATGATAGCCATGTATGGCTGTGCAGTAGTCGCATAGATGTTTTTTATCCCTGGCACTTGGCAGAGATAAATTTAGAGTAAATGCAATAATCACATCACAACAGTCAAGGATCCCTTATTCAAGAAGAGAAATATCAACGCCGAAGGCTATGGTTGAGTTTCTATTACGGTCAAGGCGGGGACCTGGCAAAATCTCTTGAATGGGCGCGCTCGAAGAAAAACGGTCACACAGCTGAGATTCCCATCATTGAGACTGAGCTGGGGAAACTAGTGAGCACTTTCGTAAGTCGCCCACAGAGTTCTAGCCAATTCTTGTCAATATCCCCGGTAGCTGTTGGAAAGGAATCATGGAAAAAGACTGGCCAGTTTGCGTTAGAATGTTCGGTCAGAAATATATATTTTCAGTCAGTTCAATTTCTTGCACTTCTTGACGGCGGTGCCTCAGCTTATGGATTTATGGATACCAAGTTTGCGCATACGAAGAATCTTGATCTTGGACCCTTAACGCGACCGCGCTACCTCCGAGTTTTTGACGGATCTGAGTCTTCTGCAGGTCGAATCACTCATGTAGCCAAAACTAAACTTAAAATGTCTGGTCACACCGGGACGATGGTGCTTTTTGTAACGACCCTAGCAGATTTCGATATAATGTTGGGACTCCCATGGCTGCAATAGCACAATCTGGACATAAACTGGCCTAAAGAATCGCCTATTTTCAACCAAACTTGTTGTCGCAAGCATTCCACATCACTTCCAGTTTGAATTAAAGCAGTTTCTCCTGATCTTGTTGCAGAGAGACGCATGAGACGCGAAATTAAGGAATTAAATAAAGCTGAGAAGATAGCAG